ATACTCAGGATAGACCTACATATTCAGAGCAGAAAACCTCTAGACCCTGTGAGGGAAGCTCATAAGCCCCAAACTACCCTCTCTGAGATGCAGATCATGCTGGAATGGGCAGGGGGTACAGCTGATCAGACCAGACCCTTCAGCACTTGAGCCAAGCTGCTAGGGAAATATTCAGTAGGTGCAGCCTCTGGGCCAGCAGATGCAACGGGGCTTCTTAACTTGGGGCTCATGAACTACCATGTGGTCTCTGGAGAGGCTTATGAGGGGTCCAAGAATCTCCAGAAGTGCGGTGCCCAAATTAGTGGATGTTCTTGGGGAGGGATCATTCTCAAAGGGATCTCTGACCTCCAAAAGGCCGAGAATGCCTGTGCCGGAGTCAGGCTGCATCTACAGTACAGTCTGCCCATCAGGACTGATCTCGGACGTATCTCTGTTCCAATAACTGCCTCCTTTAGGAATAGAAGGGCCAAAGGAAGTTGTTTCTCCCCCGACCGAATGAAATGCCTACCATCATCTTTTAAATGTCAAGATGTGGCTTACATAAACCAAGAGGGGCACAGAAGAAAGGACGCTCTAACCTTGTCTTCCTCACTCCTCTGAAACTCTCTTCGGAATGATCCGAGCCCTCTGGGGCCCTGCCACGCTCCTCTACGGGCAGGCAGGATTTCACCGCGGCCCATCCTGGGATCGTCTTCGGGCACTGTCTCTGTTCTATCATCTGATAGAAACAGCATGCTCCTTTGAGGTCCTTGCTAGTTACTACTTTGCTCAACTGGAAAAGGGTCAAGCCTCACCCGTGTATGAGTACTAACCGTACCCTGGCCAGAATGAAACAGAAAGAAAGGGCGAGGGAGGAGTCACGGTCCTTCAGATCAGTATGGCTCTCTCCCTTGGTAAACTGGTTGGGAGGAAACTCTTCCTAGCTGGATGAAGGCCCCAGCTAAAAAAAGCCACACCTCTTTAAACACCATGTCCCCGTCCACTGCCCTCTCAAGGCCAGCAGGAAATGCCTCCTACCTTCTCCTTGAAGGACACATTTGGCTGGATCGACCTCTTTGGTATGGATGGCCCCATAAACTTCATAGCCACGGCACCGGCCTGCTTTCTGCTGAGGAGAGAAGCATATCTTATCGTTTACTCCAGGATGGACACTATATTCGACTTTGTTCAGCTTTGTGAGCCGTTCTACTACCACCCCCTTGGTGATGAGGATCTCCAGGTCTGAACCACTGGTCAGCAGGTGCTCTGTGAACTCCACACCAGTCCGCAGGTCAGCTAGCAGCTGCTCCAGCTGGGCCTTCTGCAGCTGCAGGGAGTTTTCCTTCTGGACCCGTATGTCTTCCAGCTGCTTCAGCAGCTTGTCCCGGTGCTCCTCAATGGCCTTGACATAGCCCTCAGAGAATGTTCGCACGTCGGCGGCCACAGCCCCCACCTGCTCCTGGAGGGCACTGTTCATCCCTTTGATCTGTGCGAGGGCTTCCTCCAACACCTCCACGTGGGGCTGGGTGCCTTTGAGGAGCTCCCGCACCGCGTCCCCATGCTTGTGGATAACATTGCTTGTGAAGTCACAGGGGTGCTCCCGGTGCTCCCCCACCACGCAGTCCCGACACACGGGCCGGTCGCAGAGCTCACAGAACAGCCTCAGGTCCTCTGCAGGGTGCGCAGGACACAGAATGGGCTTCCCGATCCTGCTGCAGCCTTTTAAGTCTTTTAGGTCCACCATCGTATGGTAAGTTGTCTTCTTCTGCCGCCTGGGGACAGAGTCAGGGACAGGAAATTAGGGGACGATTCCGCTGGGAAATGATCTGGCAGTTTTCACAGCATGGCTCGGGAAGTCAGAGATCTGAGTTCAGCCCCTTGCTCTGACCTCTTAACTATGCGATCCTCTCGGATTCCAGTTCCTCCTCATCTGTATGGGGAGTGAATAACACCTACTCGAAAAGGCTACTACCTTGAATAAAAGCTCTCTGGCCTGGGACGGGACTTTGCCAAAGGTTGCAACACTAAGGCTATGGCCTGGAACTTTCTCTGAAGCATTAGTTTGGCAAGTTGAGACAAGAGCCACGGCCTACTCCTTCAGCAAGCTAGAGGTGAGAGCATGGTGGGAATCCAGCACCAAGAGACAGAAACTGTGCCACGTGGCACAGCGATAAACCCCCGGCAATGAAAAAGTGTCCAGCTGGCCCCGACAGAGAGTCTCCGTCCACTTTCACTTGAGATTTTGGTAAAGCATTTCCTCTGACCAGAGATTGCATCACCCAAAGCAGCAAGCTCGAATTTTCCCCAAGAGTCATTGGCATTATTAGAAAGACTGAAATCAATGGTCAGTAGGATCACAACTCTCTGTTAATTCCCCTTTTCTGTAGCCCTCTAGAGATTCAGGGGACTCCCCAGGAAACCCAGTTGACTGTTGAGAGATCCCCCGACAGCAGGAGACCACCTCGGAGCTGGCATGCCTATTCCAGCACCAGAAGAGTGGCTGTAGACAAAACAGGGTCAGCTGATTAGCTGGCAGCAAGGTAGTCATAACTACAAGTTAAAAATAGGAAGACTGAAGACTAACTTGTTCTGTTGGTGAGACCAGAAACCAAATGGAGGACAGAATTTAAAAACTATTTTAAGCTAAATCCAAAATCTTGGCTATTTTAAATTCAGATGTCCTGGAATGGGGGAGGGGGCGGAGAAGGGACAAAGAGTGATTCATGTGACCGGCTATTCACCAAATGCCATAAAAGACATAAATCTGCACCCCAACAAGCACCTATAGGCCCACCTCACCAAGCTCCAGAGTCACTCTAGGGTACAAGGCTAAGGCTGCAGTGGGGCCCAGCCAAATAGCACCTTATACTGGGAAGGCAGCATGGATTACTAGAAAGAGCACAGAATGCAGTCAGAAGACCTGGATTTAAAACTGAGTTCTGGGGGCGCCTGGGTGGCTCAGTCATTAAGCGTCTGCCTTCAGCTCAGGTCATGATCCCAGCGTCCTGGGATGGAGCCCTGCATTGGGCTCCCTGCTCAGGGGGAAGCCTGCTTCTCCCTCTTCCTCTCCCCCTGCTTGTGTTCCCTCTCTCGCTGTGTCTCTCTCTGTCAAATAAATAAATAAAAACAAAACCAAACCTGGGTTCTGTTATACACTACGTACCAGCTGTGGAACCTTGGCAAATCACATTTTGCTGAGCTTCAGTTTCCTCAAATAATAAACGGGAGTGAAAACAGTGTTTGCTTTTCTATAAGAGCTGCAAGGCATCAAATGCGATCAAGGCCAGGGGCTATGCTATTATATTCATTCTTCTCTGTTTATCCAGCACCCACTACAATTATTCACCATACAAAGGACTGATGATCCAAGGAAACAGTGAGTGTGCTTTGCAAACTGAAAAGGGCTACGCAAACCTTTGCTTCTATTATTACTAGGGGTATTATGTAAGGCTGCAGGAGTTAACTACCACTCCGGAGTATTTATCACAGCGTATACTGCTCTTTGGCCTTACAGGGCATCTGAGAGAGCTTTCCTTCCCATCTGCTCACCCAGGGATTTCTGGCTTGACACCTCTTTGTATTCTGCTCTTAAGCTGCAAGGAGGGGGGTGGGGGTGGGGGAGCCCGACTTTACCTATGCGCCTGGCAGCAGAAGTGACAGAGATTGGCTTTGCAGGTCTGACATCTCTTCTCCACTTCTCTGTCGCTGCACAGGTCACACACCAGGCCCTGGCCTTCCCCTTGAAGACTCTCCAGCATCACGTCATTCATGGCCAGGTGGTCTATGGTTAAAGCCTTCACTCCACCCATGGGCAGGTCCACCTGAGCATCACATACCGGACAGAGGATGCCGATCTGCGGCTGCAGACTGGGAGGCTTGAGTTCCTGGAATATTGACCCCTCAGAGCTTGTGTCAGAGTCTCCCCCTCTGATGTCCACTACTGAGAAGGGTTCCAGCTGCTCCAGACACGTGGTGCAAACTGTGTGCAAACAAGGCAAGAGCCTGGGGGCTTTGAAAAGCCCCATGCACAAAGGGCAGTGAGTCTTGCCTGAGTTCCCACGCGCAGTCCCACTGGGGAGTTTGCCCACGAAGCCCAGCAGCGGCTTCCTCTTTTCTGACATATTCCCCACGTTTGTGCCCAGTATCACAAAAGGCGGTGGGCAGCTCTATAATGAAGTAGTAGGTGATTAAGCCCACCCAAAGAGAAAGTTTGCAGAATTTGAGCAGAGACCATGGGGACTCTCTCTTCGGCAATTCAAAGGGCAAAATGGTAGAAGAGGAGTCGTCAAAAGAACCATCCACAGATCTACTTAGGAGGGCCCCCTCCTTTCCATGGCATCCCATACCAGACGCGCCCACGCCCTCCTGTGCCCCCCAAGTCCTCCTCCCCGGAAGCGCTGCCAGGTCTAAGTCTTGAGCTGGTCCTGCCGCCGCCAACTCCCAGACCCCTGCACCTCTCACTCCTTCCACTACCACCCCCCTCCCGCCGCCCGCCCCACTGGCCCCGGCCCGACACGCGACAAGCGCCACTCCCGCCCCCGCGTGATGAAGTCGGGGAGGGCCTCTTGCTCCTTCCCCCAACCCGGCCGTGCGCGAACCGCACACGGCCGGCAAAGGAGCTGTGCGTCCCGCCGGCTCCTGGGTGGCCACCGCCTCCCCAACACCGCAGCCCACGGTGCCCGAAGGCTCTGCCCCCTCCTCGCACCAATCCCAGTCCGAGTCTACTCAGGGGAGTCCAATCACCGTCCGAGAAGGGCGGCCCTCGCCGCTGGGGGCCCCGCCTCCCACCAGAGTGACACCACCAGTATCCAATAAGGTTTGGAAATTCCACATCTTCGCCAGTCCACTCCGACGGGGGGGGGGAGGGACCAAGCTAACGGCGAGGGGTTGGGGGGGGTAGTCGGGCGGCCGGAGGGCTCGGGCCGAGGGGAGGAAAAGAGCGAGGCTGGGAGTGAGCGGCATAGTATAGCCAGCGTCACCCTTTTACGGGGACTGTCTCTCTATCGCTGTAGCGACCAGAGAGGCCAGAGGACCCCCTTAAAAAGCCGCGCTGATACGCCCCGGGGACGACCTCCTTTGGGCCCTCGGATTGGGCCCACGAACCCAGACTGGGCTTTCCCATTGGTGGGTGGCGCTGTCAGTGGGCCCCCGAGCTCCGCGCACAGCTTGCTGGGAGTTGTAGGACGAGGCGTCTTCCTCGTCCGGGAGGCTTCGGACGTGCCAACAGACGACGTTTCTGCTCAGCCGGTGAGAGCCCGCGAGTTCCCCTCTGGGCCTCCCCAGCTTATTTTAGTTCAGGAATCCGTCAGGCCTAGGCACGGGCTACGAGAGCTTCGTTTCCCGGGACTAAGGGCTCTGAGGCCCTGGTTCCGGGGACCCGTCTGGTTGACCGTTGAACCGAGGGCTGGCCGTTGGGGAGCTCGGCTCGCGGGGGCTGGAGAAGCCGTTGTTTCCCTTCGGGGCCAGGGGCGCGGAAGACCCGAGGGCTTAAGGATTTGTCACCCAGAATTCTACAGTTCTGTATACCAGAAACGGAGCACGTTTGTCCCGCCGTTTTGATCATGGGGGAGGGCCCGTGACTGGTCACAGTGGGAGTGGAGGATGTCAAAGAGGGATGAGCCCTTTGTGGGCTCACAAACTGATGGGGAAGATGAACGCGTCAGGCAGCCTTGACAGTTTTTTTGTCTCCAAGTACCCTTACCTGGAGTCTCCTGATTCGGCCCTGTGGGGGCTTTGCCACACCTGGGATCTGGGACCGATAACTCCACAATTTCCAGAAATGGTAACACTCTAGCTCCTTACCCTCCGCTGTTCCTATGATTTCTGGTCGCTTAAGCCTGTCAAGTATGCCTGAGTCTCTCACTGCTGGTTTTATCACCTTCCCTACTTGATGCAGCTCTTTCATTGATGTCTCCATTACTCATCTCATGTCATAGGCACAGTGCCTGGAGCCTAAGCTTCCAAAAATAGGGAACTCTGAAACACCAAACAAAATAAAACTTGTGAATAAAATGTGAAAACTATAAAAATTTTTAGAAATTGAAGTGTTTGGCCATTTCCAAAATATAACATGTTAATGAGTCAAATGCCACTTTTTAAAATTTATTTTTAAGATTTATTTATTTATGAGAGAGAGCGAGCGAGCATGCACGAGCAAAGCGGGGGGAGGGGCAGAGGGAAAGGGAGAGGGAGAATCCTCAAGCAGACCCCCCCGCCAAGCACCGAGCCCAACGTGGGGCTCGATCCCAGGAGCCCGAGATCATGACCCCAGCCAAAGTCAAGAGTTGGTCGCCCAACTGACTGAGCCACCCAGGCATCCCCAAAGGCCCCTTTTATATAAAATTACATGTGATTTCCAAAAATAAATATGCCTACAAAGGTCTTAAAATAGTCCTCACCTAGATTTCTTCAGCTTCTCCTCCTTTTCCTCACCTGCTCTGACTCAGAATCTGCTTGTTACACTCTGGTGTGCTGGAGTAAGTCGCAAAAACTGTGCAGACTTGTGTTTGCTATATATTCTTGCTCTGAACTTCACCTGATGCTTGGTGATGCTTTGCTTCATCTCTTACTCATGCTCTATCACATTTCCCATGGTAGGTGTTCCAAATTTCTCTTGTTTAAGAAGTGCTTTATAAGTGACATGTGCATTATTTCACTTAATCTTTTAACAACTCTATGAGGAAAACGGAGTCTCAGAGAGATCTGGTGAGCACAGCCCAAGGTAACACATCTGAGACTTGAACTCCTGTCTTATGATGCCGTGTTTAAGATTCGACTCCAACCTCCCTTTCCTTTCTTAGCTTCTTAAGCATCTAATCACTTATATACTCAGCAGGTAACTGCCTTTAATTGAGTGAGAAGAGCAAGGCTATCTGGAGAACTCCCTCACTTTCTACTTAAAAATCTATGGTTTATCAGGAAGCCTGGGTGGCTCAGTGGATTAAGCATCTGACTCTTGATTTTGGCTCAGGTCATGATCTCAGGGTTGTGAGATCAAGTCTGGCTGTTGGGGATCTCCCTCTACCCCTCCCCTTCTACCCCTCCCCCCAAATCTATGGTTTGTCACACCTCCTCTCATACCCATCCTGACTGCGTTTCTTCTGTTCCTCAACACCTTTGCTCTTTATTCCAACCTCTCCTGGCACTTCAAAACCTTGCTGCTCCTACATTTTCAATCACTCCTTTACCAGCATGTTCTTTCTGTTAAGAGTTATGATCAAGCCCTAAAGGGGGAAGCAAATCCTCCCTTGACTGAGCTGGCTTTCCACTTACTGACTTTTGTGACTCTCACCCCTACATTTCTCAAAAGAGTAGTCCCACTTTCTGTGTTTGTCACCATCATCACCCATTTTTTTCCTCCCTCACATAAACTAACTTCCAACTCTTCTTTCTATTGAAGCTTTTCTCTTGTAGATTACCAGTGACCAAGTCACTGGCCTTTTCTCAATATACAGTCTGTTTAGTACTCACTATTGTTACCTACTTCCTCATCCTTCAGACTTGCTTCCTACTTGACTTCTGAAATGCTCTACTCTCCTGGCCTTCTGATCTCTTGGGCTGCTTCTCACACTCTCCTTCCTCACTGGTTCCCCTTCATCCTCTTTATACCCTACTTTTTCTCTCTACATGCCCTCTTACACAGATGATTCCCAGATCCACACTTTCTGCCCTGAGCTTTGGTCACAACTCTCAATTCTAAATCTGCACCCAAATGTGTCCCTATCATCTTTAGGCCCACCTACCTTAAACTTCACTGAACTTTTTTGCTCACTAAACTGTGCTCTCTGAATTTTTCTATTTTATTCTCTCAAGGATATCATTATCCCCCCTTCTCTCCAGCTTGAAACCTTATAGTGCTCCTGGCTTCCTTTCTCTTTTTCCATATCCAGGCAGGTACCAATCTTTTTCCATCCCCACTGCCGACATCTTACTGCATAGAATTTTAGGATGGTACAGGACTCTGACCTGTAGTATTACACCCTCACCTCAGATATTGTAATAGTCTCTGAATTATCCCTGCCGTCACATTTTTTTTTCAATCAATCCTACAATTTCCCCCAAATTAATTGGGAAAACATGGTACAAGGCAGGCTTCATTCTAAAAGTTTCAGTAGCTCCCTATCTCCATAGGATAAAATCTGGATTCCCTAATACATTCAAACACTGGCCTTTTAGTTATCCCCTAAGCATTGCCAAACACACTTCTTTTTTTTTTTTTTTTGGCCAGTTTTGTCCGCAGAATCCTTCCACCTTTATTATTTAAACCTACCCTTCCTTGGATGTCAGGCCTGCTTTACATTACCTCCTTGAAACTCCCTGTAACTTCAGGGTTCCAGATTTGAGCTCCAGGAGCTCTTTTCCTATAATTTTCTCGTTTCAGTTTGTGTTATATTGTGGTGTTAAGTGTTTCTATTTAGTTTGTATGTGTGTATATGTATATACGGGGCATGTTTATATGTATACACTCCACACACAAACACGCTGTCTCTGTATGAAGATGAGAAACTCTTAGCAACTAACCTAGTGCCTAATCAGTAGACCTGTAATAAAGGCTTGTTATTGATGAGGCAGGGAATGATGATCGCCAATAAAGGAGAATAAACAGGACTACATGCAGCCAAGAGTTTTGTGGGTCACGCAGACCATAGGTGATAACGGGGTGAAGTCACAGGAGATCATTAGTTAGGGATTCTCCTTTCCCAGAATCAGTTCAGTGTTTTGTTCCATGCTCACATATTGCTTCATCTTTTTGGGGACCCCAGGCAGCAAATAGTATAGAGAAGTACAGAAATCACAGGATCAGAGGAATGGGACTGATGAAAGTGATCAGGTCCATCAAGGTGTCTAAAGAGTTTCAGCCCACCCTTGTAGCCCAAGATAGAGAAAATACCAAAGGCAGGAAGGATGGGAGGGCAGGATGACCAGGAAGAAATCAGGCAGGTCTTGATTGGACATAGTGATCGACTAGCCCCACCAGAGACTGAGTGAGTACATAGAAAGTGAACCAGAGAGCTATGTCAGACTTACCTTTTACCACTGCACGTTTTTCTCACTCACCATCCCTCTTGCTTCCTTACTTTAAAGGAAAGAGAATCCTATCTCCTAGGTTCTGTGCTCTGAAGACCAGCGTCATCTGCCTCCTCCCTCTCCTCTGTCTTCATCCTTTGCTTTCTGGTGGATTTTTCTTTCAATTCATACTCATACTTAAGTCCCCTACCCTATGCCCCTCTCTAGCTCCGGATTTCCCTTGGCCTCTTAAAAAGAATAGTCTACACTTGCTTCTCTAATTCTTCTTGCATTTTACTCCTAAACACTCGGATCTGGCTTTTGCGGTCACCACTCCTCTGAAAATTGCTTTTTCCAAAGTCCCTGATAACGTCCTACTTGTTAAATCCAGTGGATCCTTTTCAGTTGTTATCGAACAGAATTTGCTATAGTATTATTTTGTTTTAAGTAAGTTCTGTGATCACCGTGGGGCTGGAATTCACAACCTGGAGATCAAGAGTCACACCAAGTGGCTCTACCAACTGAACCAGCCAGTCAGCCCTGCTTGTGACATTGACAAGTTTCTTCTCAAAACTCTCTCCTCCCTTGGCTGCCATAACACTATTCTTGAATTTCCCTCTACTTCCTGCCCCTCTAACCACTCCTTTTCTTTCTCCCTGCAGAGCATGATTTCTCCCACCCAGCTCTTAAACATTGGTATTTCCCAGGGTCCTCAGCCCTATTTAAAAAAAACCTTCATCTTCCCTTGATTGTTGTGAGATTTGGAGGTGGTGTTTCTAGAGCATTAGCCCGTGTTTGATATGGGGGGCTCTTTTTACTGTTATCATTATTATCCACACCATATCTCTGAATTTACTCCTTCCCATCCATCCCCACTATTCCTGCTTTCAAGTCAAGTTCAAGTCCTTATTATACTTTGTTTGGATTACTAACTGGTGTCCCTGTTTCCAGTCCATTCTCTATAATCCTGTCAGAGATCTTTCTGAAACTCCAATTTGATCATGATTTTCAGTGGCTCTTCCAAGACCTTCATTTATTCCGTCAACTATTCTTTAAGCACCTGGAATGTGTTTTCCCAGAATGTCTTCGTGGCTTGCTCCCCGCCTAGAATAGTGATGAAGGCAGGGGCTTTTGACTGTGTGCCAGGATATATCATTGTGTAGAACAAGCAAAAATCCCTCCTTTCATGGAAGCTATCTTCTAGTAGGGGCTTCCCTTAGCTCTACCTCTGCCAGCCTAGGTAACCTCATTTCTTCTACTGCCCCACCCAGACTTTTTTTTTTTTTTAAAGCGCCTGATTCCTAAAAGAGTCTTTAGTGCCATCTAGTGGAAGTAGCTGCAATAAAATGCTATACTAAGAAAGCTTGGACTGTGCACCCTTCTATTTTGCTTCTTTTGAACTGAGATGGACAAGAGAAAACTTGGTTGCATTGCATTATGGCAGCTTTGCATTTTATCTAGAAATTCACTGTACCTTTTGTTATTTGTATTCTAATTGTGAGATCTAACAAGTATAAGTAGTTCCTTAGAACTGATATTTTATGTTAAGTGGGCAACTCTTCAACCTTGAGAAGGTGTAGGATGAAATGGCTAGAATGATCTGAGCCTTGGAGCTCTCCTTGTGTAACTTCTTTCAGGTCAGACTGGAACTAAATGAGACATAAGTTCCATTATTACTTAACTACCCACCCTTTCAGAAAGAATTCTCCACAGTCTTCTTTAAGATCTTCTAGCTCTTCTCACCTGACCACTAGTCTGACCAGATACTCTGCCCTGACCCTGAACATTCCAGAGTTGATATAGTCAGAAAGCTGCACCCAATCTTAATTGGTTTGGCATAAATATAAACTATTCTTAGACTGTACTTTATTACACACTTTATTCATCTTTTTCTGTGAATTCCTTTTTTATGTTTATCAAATAATAAAGCTCATTATTAACCTTTTTTGAAATAAATGCTTCATGAAGCGCCTGATACATTAACGTATTTACTAAAAAATTAATGTGGATAAATGCTTCGTGATTACATTATCTTTTATATAAATTTATCTTCCACATAAAATATACATAAACTGGGTAATAATATAAAGAAAATGGCACATTTAGAGATTGGATTTTGTACTGCATATGGTGATAATTCTTTTTTTTTTTTTTTTT